TTTTCCAATAAACTCAACTTTCGACAAACACTTGTATTCAGTAATATTTGTTATGAAACCTTGTCAGTGTGTGTTGCGCAGATCTGCTCATTAGTTCAGATGTGGGTGCATGAATAGACATTTGTGTGTGCACACACACATACACACATTAGTATGCCACTCTGCAGCACTTCTCAGCAGGTGAAAGAAATCTGGCCCAATCAGCAGCACCCTCAACTCAGGTATATAAGGAATCCACTAACCACTTTACTGGTTTTGCAACAGAGCTGAGGAAGGCAAACACAGCCTCCAAAGCAGCATTTCATGGAAAAGGACTTATAAGGACTACCGGTAAGCCACTAACTGGGCTTAATTGAATGTAATTTGACTGTAGTTTTGCATTTGAGAAATGAAATGAAGAATTTATTGAAGTAACAGTTTGCATTGCTAGTTTTATAGTTTGGTTCCACTAAATGTATGTTAAACTCACAGCAACTAATATTTAATGGAAAAACCTCATGTCCTAAGGAAAAGAAAAAAATGTAATTCTAAAATGTGTGGATTTGTTTGATTCAAATTCAACCAGACATGAAATTTAATAATTTAATACTGTGAATTTATGGTTAAAATTGTAAGAGAAATGTATGTTTAAGGTTAAAAATGGAATTAGTCATTAAGATAAATTATTAACTTTGACCCAAATGTCTAAAATGTATGTTAAAATATTTTGTATGTGTTTTGTAGGTTTTTCACCTGTTCTGTTCATTGGTTCTCACTCATTGGTGAAAATAAAAAAGATTGAGTGAATTCCTGAAGTCTTCAAGTCCTCCTTTTCAAGTGTAGGAAGCCATGAAATTATAGGACACTTGACAGTGAAAAACCGCTCCAATCAGAGGAGATTCCATTCTGCAACCAGAGACTGAAATCTGCTATCTGTCTTCCAAAGGAGGAAAATGACTGAATTAAAGTCCCTTGATGACCTCAAAGCAGAGAGGACAACAGTTAAAAGACTTTTCTCCCGTTTTGCAAATAACATTATGAGGACCTACATGGAGATGTCTAAGGAGGATCTGGAGGAGAACTACAAGAAGCTTACACTGGAGAGCTCCAAAGTTATGGAGGCAAATGAGGATGTGGAGGCTGCTTATATGGCTGAGTGCAAAGCAACTGCAGCTGAGGAGCTGAGCAATCTTCTGAAAGCTGACATAGAGAAGACGGAGAAAGAATGTGAACAAAAGCTTAAAGAAGCTAAACTCCTTATCCGAGAGACAATGTGGGCCACATATGGAGAGAAGGAATTGTCCCTGGCTCTACAAGTTGCAGAGGATGAGTGCAAGAATGTTTCTTCCATCGGGCCAGACATAACTCTGGAGGCATATGAGTTTATGCTCACCCATTTGGAGAAATTGATCCAGAAGGCAAAGGAAGCACACCAAAATTGGAACCATTGGGCCCCACCTGCCGAGAAAAAGGATTTCAACTACCATGTAAGGGAGCTAGAGGTGTGCCTCCCTAGGATGGTTTCTCAGAAGGCTGTCTTTATCGAAGCAGCAAGGAAGAAGGACACAACAGAGGAAAAAGCCTTAGTCCATAGTCTACCTCCAATAGCTGCAATAAAACTGAAAGCCACAGCTTTACCAAAGTTTGGTAGAAGTAAACGAGACTATTACAGATGGAGAAAAGAATGGGAGGCTCTCCAGAAGCAAGGTGAACCATCTGGTTCGAAAGAAGTAAAGAAGTTTCAATTGCTTGATAGTCTCGATGAGAAATTGGCTAAGGATTTACGCCTGTCAACATACAATTCATCAGATGAGATCTTCAGAGTCCTGGACAATCGTTTTGGGAACAAAGCTACCATTGCTCTTGAGATTATTGAAGAAGTACAAGCAATCCCACCAGTGAGAAATGGTCAACCTAGACGAATAATAGAACTCATCCAAGCTTTGGAGAAGGCTCTTAGTGACTTAAATGAGCTAGGAAATGTAGATGCCATAAAGAATCCACTGGTGACTAAATCCATAGAGAGTAAGCTTCCAGAAACTTTAAAGAAAGACTGGCTCACCCATAATGCAACTGAGAAAGACATCACTAGTTACCAGGATTACTTTGACAAGATTATGGTGTTCCTTAGATCACAAGAATCCATATATGAACAACTAGATCAACTGAAAGATCTCGTTGAACCCATCAGAGAGAAATCCAAGTTCTTAAAATGTGCCAGAACCAAGACAACCAAGCACAGCAGTGATACATCAGGCTGCATTGTTTGTGGTGATCCAAAGCACAGGAAGAAACTGTATTTCTGCAGAAGATTTAGGATCAATCTAAAGCCATCAGATAAGAGGGATATAGTACAGCAACTTGGTGCCTGCAAGAAATGCCTTGAACTCCATAATGGTGACTACTGTAAGAAAACTGATTACCTGTGCAAGAACCCAGAGTGTAAAGACCAACACCACTTTCTTCTCTGCTTACTCGCTAGACCGCAGTCCCAAAGAACACCCAAATCTGGCTCAGAGAAAGTGGAGGGCAAAAGACATACTGAAGCCCAGGAAGAGTTTCTTTCCAAACTCCCACCTGAGCTGGCTCAGCAATGTAAAGATGCCTTCTGCAATGTTGTGTCAAGGGCACACAACTCCACTATTACTAAGACAGGCCTTCTAGAGGAGAATGACTTAAATGAGTATCCAGTTATCCTGATGATTCTTAACGTTACAGCCAATGATGGAAAAAGAATTGGATCCCTCATTGACCTGGCATCAGACACAAACTACATTACACATAAAGCTGCAAGTAAGTTGAATCTTAGAAGTGAAGATGTAACGCTTGTAGTCCATGGTGTTGGAGGGATGCAGGTGTCTGTTGAAACGAAGCGCTATCTCCTTAAGATACGTGTTAATACTCCAAGAGGGACTCTCAAATCGCATCAGCTGATCTGCTATGGGCTTGATAAGATTGCAGAATTTCATAGACATGTCCCTGCCACAAAGCTACAGAGGATTTTTCCAGATGTCTCCTTGAAAGACCTTACAAGACCTAAAGAGATACAGCTCCTGATTAGCCACAAAGAAGGTCAACTTGTACCTCAAAAAGTTCGCTCTGTCGGGGACCTGGTGTTATGGGATGGACCACTCGGCAAGACGATTGGAGGCACACATCCGGACCTCTTTGAAGAAGTTACCTTAATGGCCCATACATCAGAGACACACTTTGCAAGATCAATGAGGACTGCAGCAGTCAAGTACAGTGAACTCACCTGCAAATCTTCAGTTTCCTGTCAGTCTCCTAAGCATCCTTTCATCCAATCCAATGCAGCCACTACTAGCAAAGACTTTCTGAAGTGGTGGGAATGGGAAAGCATCGGAGCAGCCTGCGTGCCAAAATGTGGAGGATGTCGCTGCGGGAATTGCCAACCCGGCGGGAAGGAAATGTCTTTGGCTGAGGAGAAAGAGATGGAGACGGTGAGAAATGGCTTGACATATATAAATGGTGACCACCACACTCCTGAACCACACTGGCACGCCAAATATCCATGGACTGAAGATTTGACTTCTCTCCCCGACAATAGGAAAGCAGTAGAAGCTACATTCCTCAGGACTGAAAAGCAGTTGGCAAAGGACCCAGGGTGGAGATTGGCCTATGCTTCACAAATCCATGAAATGGTCGATCGCAAAGCTGCAGTGAAACTGTCCAAAGAAGTTCTACAAAGCTGGACTGG